CTTTTCTCTTTTTTCTTATTCCCTCCCTCTCTCTCTTTTTCTTATTCTTATTCTTATTCTCTCTTTTTCTTTTTCTTATTCTTGTTCTCTTGTCTCCTTTTTTTTAAAATTTTTTTTTTTCCCTTGTTTTCCTTTCCTTTTTTTGTTCTGGTTTTGGTTTTCATTTCATGCCGTGATAAAGAAGGTGATGAAGAGGGTGAGCAGGAGGAGCAAGAAGAAGACAGAGAAACGAATAAAGACCTCCTTTTAAGATCCTTTTACCTTCCTTCCCGCTTATCTTAATTATTTAATACGAAATTTTCAACTTGTTCACAACGACTTGATTTTCATTGCATTCGATTCTTAAGATACGGTAGGCTGCTCCATGGGGCCCCATGGGGCCCCACGGAGTTTTGGGTCCTCCTTACGGGGGAACCCACGGGGGGTACAAAATTCTGCCCCTCCCTATGGGGAAACCTTATAAGGCGTAGGGTTACTCCATAGGGTTTATATACATAAAAATATGCATATACATAATTACTAATCAAGTTTACTAATTACATTTACTAATCACATTTACTAATCACATTTACTAATTATATTTACTAATCACATTTATTAATTAGAGACTTAAAGTATTAGTCAAATTTATTAGTTATAAAGGCTTAAGGGTTGATAAAGACCCGTTCTTTAGCTTAAGTCTATTAGTTACAAAGAGTTGATAAAGACCCGTCCTTTTGCAGTTACGTAGAATACGTTTAACTCGGTCTTTGCTTTTAGCTTAAGCTCTTGCTTGTAAGCATAGTTCAAATAAATCTCGTTTGACTCAAGTAGCTCTCTTAGCTTTTAGCACTTGTTGCTCTACTTAAATTCATTTTCATCCGAGAACTTGAAGGTGAAGCGTTTATATGCTAAGGTGCTATCGATAGTGAAGGGGTATAGCATTAATAGCTCTTTCAAAATGCTTTTAGCTTCAGCATAATCGCTATCGAAAAGCTTAAGAGTAAGATCACTTAAGATCAATCGAACCTTAATATCTTTATAAGTGAATTGCTTTCTAATTAGGTTAAGGAAAGAGACAAAGTGGTCGAGGAGACAAAAGACTTAAGCGCTCTCTTTTTAAATAAAAAATCAATCAGTGATTATAGAATATAGATGTTATTATTAACTTTGTTAGCACCGTAATGCTTGATGCCGAACTTATCGACAAAACCTTTGCGACTTTTTTATTCGTAATCGAGGCCGATTAGTCTTAAAAACAAAGCGGTATCTTCTTTATCATAGCAAGTAAATATTGAATTAACAACGTTACTATTAGCATAAACGACTACGAAATCTTTATAGCGACTAAGTATCTCGTTGATTAGCTTGTTGCTACCGGTGCTAAAAGAGTTGACCTCGACTATAGCGTTATAAAAGAAAGGAATCGACATTGCTAAATAAAGAAAATAATTAGCTTAAAGCAAAGAATCAAAAAGCAAAGAATCAAAAGGAAAATAATTACTTAAGTTGAGTGTAGTTGTAATTGAGTATTAAAGTTAGTTAAGAAGTTAAGTGTTAAGGTTAAGAAGTTGAGTGTTGAAGTTAAGGTTAAGAAGTTAAGTATTAAAGTTAAGAAGTTGAAGTTAAGTGTTGAAGTTAAAGTTAAGAAGTTGAATAGAAAGTAGTTGTAGTGATGATAAAAAAAAGAAAAGGAAAAGGAAAGGGAGCGAGTACTTATATAAAAATAAAAGTATAGCTTAATCGTAATCGAGGCATTGCTTCGATTCATTAAAAGTGAATTATAATATTTAAAACAATAAATCGACGCGAAACAAAGAAAATAACGCGTTTTAAAACAATAAATCGACGCGGAACAAAGAAAATAACGCGTCGCTTAATAATAATCGCAATGCCTCGATTTAATAAAAGTGAATTACAATATTTAAAACACGAACTCGACGCGGAACAAAGAAGGAACGCTTCGCTTAGTAAATCTGATTAGTAAATCTGATTAATAAATCTGATTAGTAAATTTGATTAATAAATGCTGCACGGAAAGAAACCTTGCATGCTGCACGTCCTTTTGCTACACGTGCTTAGCTCGGCTATAGCTCGGCTATAGCTCGGCTATAGCACGTGCTTTACCGTACGTAATCTAATTAGTAAATCTGATTAGTAAATCTAATTAATAAATGCTGTATAAAAAGAATTAACGTACTTAAAGCTGTTATACGTAACTTACGTAAGGCTGCTACACGTAACTTACGTAAAGCTGCTATACGTAACTTACGTAAGGCTGCTATACGTAACTTACGTAAAGCTG